GACAAACTTGTTTTAAGCTTAATGAAATCATACAAGGAACTTTGAGTTTAACTTTTGGAGATAAATATCTCTATGAAAATAATATGTTCCTATATTTAAAAAAAGATGGTTTACCTACCTAATCATTCTCGAGGCTTTTCGTGTGTTGGAAGATGGTTTCATTTTGAATATAGGAGATGAAGAAACTAATGCTTTGTTATAATGATGACTCTCAAAAACATCATTTATTTGAGAATCACTACAAATTAAGTTGTGTGTTGCCACGTGACTCTCACGTCGCTAACACCAAAATCATGTCACAATTTTATTTTTACCACGTGAAGAAACACGTCGCTGGAGAGTGCGTGGCAATATTGTTGCGACGTGGGAAACATGTCACAACGTTGCCACGTGAAATTCACGCTACAATAAACTTTATGGGGTCAAAGGCAGTCAGAGCAGAGCAGAGGTCAGAGCAGATTTTATATTCATTTTTACGTTGTGTGTTGCGGCGTGTTTTTCATGTCACTAATTTGTGATGTGGAAAACACGTCGCAACTTATTTTTTTTATAAAAAAAATTATTTTCTGTTTTAAATATAATAATTCTGATTTAATAATTAATATTATTTTCTGTTTCATTAAATTTATAAATTAAATATTATAATTTATTTATTAAATTCAATATTATAAATCAAATTATCAAAAATAAAACTAAATATATCAAAATATATAAGTTAATATACTTAATATAATAAAATTAATAAACTAAAATTTAATATTTTTAAATATAAAATATGATTATAAATTTATATTAGTACACAAATAAAAAAATAAATAGAAAATAAAAATAAAACTAAGCAGAAGGATCATTCGAGTCGTCGGCAAAGTCGCGAAGAAAGTCATTGGTAGTTATTATTTTGGCCACCATTGTTGGGATTTCTACCAAATGCTTGCATAAATTATCGCATTTGCTCCTCTATATCAGTCTGTCTCTTCGCCATTTCCTCCATTTCTCTATTATGTTCACCCCTCATTGCCTCCATTTGGGCCTTCAATGCGGCCTCCATTTGGGCCTTCAATGCGGTCTCACGTTCTTCGGACTCACGACTAGCCAATTGTCTTACCGTTTCTAACTGATCTGGTGTCAAATTTGTTTGACGTGACCCTCCTTCACCATCCGCAGCTCTCTGATACAGAGTTCTATCCCCACTCCTCAAGGTGTCCGCCAAATTTTCACCACCAAAAAAGCACCTGTTAGGCCCCTTTCCCCTAACAACTTTTAAACATAAACATATGCTTTTATTTTAACTATTTTTAGTATATAATGTTTTTTTATATACTATTAATATAGTTTATTAAATATATAATAGTTAATATAATATTTTTTATTGACATATAATATAGTTTTTATAAAATAATTTTTAATTATAAAACCGTTTTTATTAACATAGATATAATATATAATAATTAAATACATAAATCAATTTTTTATATATAATATTTTATAACATACATATATAATATTTTATTGACATATAATGTTTTTTAACATACTATATTAATGTTTTATTGACATATAATATAGTTTTTATATAATATTTTTTAATTATAAAACCATTTTTTATTAACATATAATACAGTTTTTATATAATTTTTTTAATTATAAAACAATTTTTATTAATATTCTATATATCTGATATATAAATATTTTTTATTAATATATAATACAGTTTTTATATAACTTTTTTTTTAATTATAAAACCATTTTTATTAACATTCTACATAAAATAAAATATTATATTTGTTTTAAAAAAATATATTAACATCAAATATATAATGTTTTTTATAATATTATACTATTTTTTATAATATTATACTATTTTTTATATATGCATAATTATAAAAGAGTTTTAAAATAATAACATTAAATATATATTTTTAATTATAAAACAGATTTTATAATAATAATATTAAACAGTTTTTACTAAATATCTACATATTAAAATAATTTTTTAAATATGTTTTTATTCAATATAAAAAACTATTTTTTTATATTTTTTTAATCAATACATAAAATATTATATTATATTTGTTTTAAATAAAAATATATATATTAACATTAAAACTGTTTTTATAAAATTTATATATTATTCTGTTTTTTTTTTGTTTTTTATAATAAATAAATTAAATAAATTAAGATATATAACTTATCATAATATATATTTTTGTTTATTAATAAATATTTATTTATATATATTTTTCGTTTTTTAACAAGAAGTACCTATATAATATATATTCTCATTTTTTAAAATTATATTTAATGAAAATTATAATATTATAATTTAACCAAATTCAACCTAAAATCTAACTAAATTCAGAAAATATACCAAATGTAAAAAAAAAATTCAAGAAGTATCTCTTCTCTCCTAACTCCTTCAATCTTTTTGTCCAACCTTTTTGCAATCTACTTCTACTATATCAATCTTCTTCTATTCAAAGAAAAATTAAAATAAATTACAATCACATAATACGATAAATAAAAACTTGTAAACAAAATAGAGACAAAATTAAATTAAATTTACATGAAAAACAAGGATTAATGGAGATTGAAGTTGGATTTTATGAAAAAGAAGAGGTTTTATAATGGAGATTGAGTTGGATTTTATGAAGAAGAAGAGGGTTAATGGAGATTGGGATAGAATGAGAGAGAGAGAGTTGTATTTGTTGAAAATATACTACTGTTTGTGCTTGGTGTAACGTTATTTAATTAAATATATAAACCATTCAGCGACATGAAAATCACGCTGCAACTTTGCCACGTGACTTTCACGTCGCAACAATGCCAACGGCCATATTCTCTTTCTTCACATGCCTGCAAAAGCTGATCATGTCAGTCTGAATTAATTTGATTTTCCCTCTTAAATGTTGCGACGTGAATACCACGTCACAACTGACTTTTTCAAAATTTCAAAAATTCCTCCATCTAAGCGTAAGACCAATTAAAATATTTTATATTATATTTTTATTAGCGATGTGATTCACACGTCATAACATATTTTTTTAATAAAAAACTCAGACAATCATCATGTTTCTTTATTTTATTAATAAAACATGTTGCCACGTAATTATCACGTTGTAATTGACTTTTTTAGCCATATGATAATCACGTGGTAAAAACACGTGGTTAGAAACGATATTTCTTATAGTGAATATCCCACGTATCTTCCACGTTCATGGGAGTAAAATCAATAATGACCCATAAATTAATGGTAAAAATATTATTGTATACTTACAACTCTCGTTGTCCCCAGAAGTTACTACTTCAACTCAAAGATTGCAACAAAGTAACAAACTTGTGTTACTTTTGTTAAAGATTGTTGGTTGTGGAATAAAAAACTTAATAGCGAATATACTACCAGAATCGGGTTTATTAGTTGTCATTTATGCATCATGATTGAGAAATTGATGATTATTCGAATTGGATATGGAAGTTGCCTTTGTAGTCGTAACCGTTCAATTTTTTTAGTTTAGAACCTTTGTCATAACTCTCTCCTAACCAAGTTAGCCATGCAACATGTTAATATTTCTCTCCTTACTTCGTTGAAAATATCAAAAATTTCTCACAAAAATTTATATACATATCAATTTCTCACATTGAGAAACACTTTAATATATATGTAATTGTTAAGTTAAATACATTTCATTTTATCAAGTTTACATATTTAAATATATTTTTTTTTAATTTTTTAATTTAATTAGTATGTACTTACAATATATAAAAAATGTATAATGTCACTTAATCTTGACCGTTATATTTTTACTAATGTTTGACTTTTATTCTAATAATTTATAAAATATCATCTTTGAATGATTGTGATATATGAATTGTGTAAGAAAATTTACTAGTACATAAAAATTAATATCTAATAATATTTTAAATTAAATGATAATTTGTAAAGTTTTCATTAACACTCTTTTTTTAAAATCAAATAGAGATGTTGAGATTAGGTCTAGTCCAACCCAATTGCTATATGAACTAGTATAATCTCTAACCTAGATGAATTCAAATCAATATTGAAAACTAGCCAATGTTTTTTTTTTCCTTCTGAGAAATATTGAAAACCGACCAACCATGATTGACAAAATATTAAATCCAATGTCTAATTTGCCTATTGCTTTAAGGAGGGAAAAAATTATGTGGCATGGGTATCCACCATAATTATTTTCCCAACAAAATTAGCACTTTACTTTCACACTTTCCTTTATCATTAAGTTAACCTTAGCTTTACTCCAATATCCATTTATCCAATTTTAAAATATGAACAACTCATTGAAATCTTCATCTATTGGCTGGCCTCCAAACAAATAGGACTATGTTACTCAACTTGCATTCAAACCTATGACTTCCCTCATTTCTTTGACTTCAAATCAAATGATAAATTAAACCTTTTTCACACTTACATTGCTTCAAATTGCTTCAAAATCTCATTTTCATAATTGAAGGTGACAATAACATAGAAATATCAGATATCATATTAACAATAGCTTTGTTTGGTTTGGTAAAACTTTCAAAAAAATGTTTTTTAATGATATTCAAAGGAACATCAAGTACATTTTGCTTTTCAATTAAAAATTTGGTACCTATCAATATTTCTTGATTGTTGATTTTGCTTGATATGATATTTACAAACATTTATTATTGAACCGACGTAGCCCTCTCAGCGGGTGGGTTGGTTTGATGCATGTATCTCGACATTTATTAAATCGGCTTGAAATCGGGCATTGTAAAAGATAAGAATCAAAACATTTATTATAGAATCATCATTCAATATATATGCTTCACAACATTTGTTGAAAATCTCCTATGTACAAAATGACAACATCCCCAATTAAGCCTTCCCTAATATTCAGCCATAGCAGAAGGGAAAAAATCAAAACAACTCAAATTGCAAATTAACATATAAACTAAAAAGGTAAATAAAGCAAACTAAAAAAAACTAAGATAAGAACTGTTTTTCTTTAGTATGAATCAGCATTTTCGTCATCGTCATCGTCAACAAGTTCGTCAAAGAAAGGATCTTTGAGAAGCTCATCAGCAGAAGGCCTAACCCTTGGTTGAGCAAGACACTTTTCAATGAAGTCCTTCACCTCAGAATCTTTGACCTTGTTTAAGGCAGCAGGTCTAATACCAGAAGACACTTTCTTGTAAATCTTGGCAACATTGTCGCATTCGCTGTAAGGAATCTCCAATGTCACCATTTCTAACAAACACATGCCAAATGAGTATATATCCACCAGTTCTGTGTAGTCTTCATCATATAGTTCTGGTGCCATAAACTCTGGTGTGCCGAGAATTGTGTGCGCAATGTGATTTTTCCCAACAATTGCGGCCAAACCCAAGTCACCAATCTTAACCTGATAATAGCCATTCAATGAAAGAACATTTGTTACTAATAACATCTTTTCGGTTATTATCACATAACGAATTCATTAGACATATATGGAAATCACAACTTATACACAATGAGTGAAACACCAACACAAACAATGACATGGAACACATGAGTAACGTCCAAAATATTATACGACATTAATCATTTATAAAAGACTGAATTAAAAATCAAAGATTCATATATTCATCTAGTACAGAAAATCAAATGTTGTAAATATGACAGAAAGAAAAACAGAATTAGATTTGTAAATTACCTGTCCAACATTCCCATTAACAAACACGTTACTGCAATTGAGATCTCTATGAATGATGCAAGGCTCATGAGTGTGCAAATAATTCAACCCTTTCAAAATCTGCCTCGACCATTTCTTCAACGCCTTCATCGAAACATGCCTATGTTTCTTCCTGTACTCTCTCAAATTCCCACTAGTACAAACCTCAGTAATAAAATTCAGTGTGCCGTGTTCATCATCGGTCCAAACACTGTAAAGTTCAATGATGTTTTCGTTTGTTAAGTTTTCCAATAACCTCACTTCAGCATAAAGCCTCTTTACCATAGCAGGCTCATCACAGAAGTTCCTTAGCTTCACTTGATTCCATGCTACCTCAATTCCTTCTTCTTGATCAAATCCTCGGTACACTTTCTTCACCGCACCGCAGCCTAATAGCTCAGTGTATCTACCGTATCGACCAGTTGGATCAGTTTCTGCGAATACCTCGGAGTCTTTGTCAGATGAATCGGGGTTCACACTCGGCATCTGTTACCACAATGATCATATACAGTTATTAGCAATATTTTACAAACAAATACTGGTATATTAGTTCTTATGAACTATGAAGCACGAACACAAACACGGATAGCAGACAAATACCAACACTTTGACACCACTAATAATTTAAAAAATGAATAAATTGAACAAAATCACAAGCATCGGTGTATGTGTCCGGTTCCACGGTGAGACGGACACCCTTTCACACGTCAGTACTACATAGCTTATAAACATGTAATGTTGATCTGAATGTAGAAATCACCAAAAATAAAATAAAATAATAAAAAAAAATCAAAATCAAATCAAATGTTAGTCAATTAAAAAAATTAATAACAAATTATAGTATATTAATTGTTGTTAAAAATATATTACATCTAAATGAAGAAATCGCCAAAAATTAAAAATGGGTCAAATGAAAAATCAAAATCAAATCAAACATCAACAATGTGAAAAGTCTGAGAGAACAATTTCAGCATATTATTCAATTCTGAGGGACAAAAAGGGAAATTTCTATATATGTTTTTTCCTTCTAGATGGAAATTTAATCAATGAAAAAATGAATAAAATAAACTCATGAAGAAAAAAAGAAAGAATAAACTGTTGCATGTAGTAGTAATAATAATAATAATAACATCTAAAATCAAAGAGTAACTCATAAAATGAATCAAAGAACACAATTGAAGATGCAAGGAGCATGAAACTGAATAATTAAGTGATTATGTAAATAAGTGATTAAGTAACATTCAAAACCAAAAGGACTTAAAAATTGATGAATTAATCATGTGAGTGATAATAACTAATCACAAATATCAGTACCGTTTCAGAGGTGTCGGTGTTACGTAAGAAACAATTAACATAGAGATTATGATAGAACATGATGAAAAACATGGAGCAAGATTAAGATGATTACCATGAAGAAAACCGAATTGAATGAACGAGAAAAAGCTGAAAATGAAAATCTGGAACTTTCGGCGGTAAAGAGAAGCTAAGAAAGGTGTTTGCTCAGAGAGAGAGAGAGGGAGAGATGTTGGTGAATGAATGTGAGAGTATTTATATAGAAATCAAGGAGCCAGATTTGAAGTAGTAATTTATTTTTACAAAAATATCTCAACGGTTTTCTTTTCTCTTTTTGCTTTTTGTTTTTCTTTAATATTTTTTCCTCAAATTCCTATTATTTTAAGAGATTAAATTTATATAGTTTATTTTATTTTTTATAAAGGAAATTACTTTTTATTTAATTAGATTTGACTGAAAATAAAATGATATAGACTACTGGTTAACTTGCACTAGGATAGTGCTTGCTTTTTGAGGCTTTGTTTTAACTCTTTAAGGTTTATTTTTATTCATAAATAAAAATAATTTTATACAATATATTTTTATTAAATATAAAAACAAAAAAAAAGTTATATTTGGGTAATGTTAAAAGTTTTATGGTATCTCAAATATATAAATGATAATCAATATCATCTTAAATTTTTTAAAGCTTTTGATTTTATTTATTTTTAAGAAACAATAAAGATTAAAGCTTAAAAGAAATAGAACATTACAAATAAATTAATTTAGAGGTGGCGACACCTTTATAATTATTATCAAGCAAATTCAAAATAAAAATCAGAATTTCATCAAAGAAAATGACATTCTACTATGTATACACACATATTTTTTTATATAAATGACTCATGGTGACCTCATCAAAACTTAATCTTGATTTATCTATGGTTAAGTAAATATAAATATTAGCTTTTTAATTTAATATAGTGACAAATATGTTGAAATTGGTTTTAATTATAGCTTAATAGTTTTAAATTTGAAATCTTGTGTAGTTGTCCTCTTTGCAATTCTTCAAAGACGGCATATATAATAGTAATTTTAATTAATTTCTTAATTAAAAAATTGTTTTTGTTAATAATTTAATAATTATAAATATTTAACATTATTAAAAAATATTAAAATGAGAGAATACAAATTTGTTATCTATTTTAAGTTTAAATTAGTATTTATTGAGTTTTTAAACCTAAATATATCTTTTAGGTTTTTGATGTTATTCGTGAATATTCATTTTTTGACTAATTTTTTTGTTAAATTCAATATTTCTTAAAATTTTATGTTTGAATGGTTTTTTTAGTCATTAGAATGATTTAAGGTGTAAAAAAATTATGATAGTAATGTATCACAATTGTTTAAAATAAAGTTTAAATTTTATAAAGATTTAATCTTTGTATGTACTCTTAATGTTTAAAATTAGGCCGACCATGAATTAGTTTATATATAATTTTTTATTTATTAAAAATAGTGATAATTGTTAATTGTAATGAAATTCAAAGTTTTATATAGATATTTTTTGTTTTTCCTAAAATAGATTTCTTTTTTAAAAAAGTGTTTTTTTTTTCAATAAAAACGAATTACCTTTATTGTAGAAAAAAAAAACAAATTGGGTTGGTAAGTATGTACTTTAAAACTTGGTTTGTGCAAGCGTTGTTGAACCTGGGTCGTTGCAAGTAATTGAGTTTGATGCATACACGTTTAGTCATATAATAATAATATCATATTTTTATTTTATTTTATTTATTTTCTTGGAATTGGTATAAAAAAAAGTCAAATAATACAAAACAAAATTAAAGAAAATATTTTTTCCAGGAGGGTTTGTTGGGTCAACGTGTGTAGATATTGATGGAAGCGCGTGTTTACACACGCTAACATGGGAGAAGGGACAAAATTTGATGTCCAAGAAGCTTCAACCTTTTTAAAAATGAGAGAGATGCTTCAACCTTTATTCCAGATAGTAGGGAAGAAAGTGTATGGTTCATGGGACCAAGCAACAAAAAGAAAAATATTATTGGGAAAAGAAAAGGATGGTGAATAAAATTGATTTTTTTTTACTGAATAAAATTGATTTTGTTGCTTGGAAATCACTTCTTTTTGTTGGTGAAAGGATAGAATCAAGTGGAAAAGTTGTTAACTTTTTTGTTGGAGGTGTTTTTAAAATTTATTGAGAAATTAAAAGGTAACATATTTGGAAAATTTTGTTTTTTTTTAATTGAAAAGATTTGATATTAATAACCCAAGAGATTATTCTTATAAAAAAAAGACTATCTTTATGAAAAACTTAAAAGATTATGAATAAAACATAAAAAAATATTTAAAAAATTGTGACACATAAAAAATATAAAGTTAAATAAGAATAGAGCTCTAATATTAACAAGATAAATAATTAGATTATTAAAGTATTTGAAGTGCAAAAGAAAAGAAAAAAAAGTATTTTGGAAAGAAATTTTTCGAGTGAAACGATATCATGGTAGAATAACAACACTAAAATTATCCGATGGTGGTGGAAGTGATGCTTGCGACAATTAAATCAAAAAATAACATTCTAATACAAATCTTTTGGGTGAAACACGCCTCTAAACAAGTATTGATATTGATTTATCACAAATTTTTTGTTGTGAAATTGAAGATGGTAAATCACACTGCTCGATTGCAAATTAAGGAGTGGATGAATTAAAAAAAACCTTTGACCTATATGATGATTGTCAAATTGAGAGATAAATATATTTGTTTCTTTATCATGCAAGATCGATTTAAGGTGGTATGGAAATTTATGGGTAACATAGAATTATGGATATATAGTGTGATTTTTGTTAAATATGTAATTCTTTGTGTCAAAGCAAGATATTGTTCTGTTGAGAATCAAGTGTGAGGAAGAAACTCCACATTGATTATAAAAGGGAAGATTGAGTACTTATATATGAGAGAACCCACTCATCTATCACCTTAAGATTTTAGATGGACAAGTGGTGTGTCTCTTACAAAGGTGTGTCCCAAGTAAAATGCTCTCTCCTCGGAATTGCCCCTACAGTGATACCATGAGCCTTTGGTGGTACAAGTGTGTGTATGTGGAAGAGAGTCATTCCACATGAGAAATGTGTCGAATTAGTTATGTTAAATGTGTCGAAGCCGTTGTTACACACGATTTAGATTTGATTTAATTCTAAAATAGATATTTTAAATTTTTATAATTTTTCATTTTTTTAATTTAAGAAGAAAGCAAACTCAATTATATAATACTCATTTTTTTTCATCAAAAGATATTCATTCATAGATGACATAATTATTTTTCGACTTGGATAGATAAAAAGATTACACGAGTTAACCCGTTTAATATGTAGTTTTTGGTGGACAAGTTAAAAATTTGAACTCACCACTTCTAATTGTTTATCTAACCTACTAATTAAATGGGACGGGACAAGTTAATCAGCCGGATTAAAATAAAATTTAAAAAACTCTTTTTTACATTTCTTCTTATACAAGTTACAATTTATTTACTATATCTAGAGAAAAAATTCATTTCATATAATCACTTTAGTTTCATGAATTTAACCCCATGTTTCTCATAATTTATCTAATTGGTCACTTATTATATGATTATAGATGATAAAATATGAGTATATGAATAATAATTTTCACATTTATATTTGATCCATTAGTCACATATTTTGGTATCTTTAAATTTTCTTTATGTTTTTATACATTTTTTTTAATATTTTTTTTGTGAATATTTTAACTAATGTATTTTAGAAAAACATTGACGGGGAGCACTAATCAAACCTACTAGCCAATCTTAAAAAGGGATGGGGTAAAAATTTAACCCCCACCATGTCCCTTTTAAGAAGGGTGAAAGACAAGGCAGGTTGATTTTTTTTTCATCCAAAATTCCAATTCTAGAAAATGAAAATAGAGAATGGATGGATGATTTTCTACAAGAATATAGTTTAGAAGGTATTGTCATTAAAGAACTTTTTACTATCCTTAGTTATTTTTTTATATGCATGGATGATTTGAGTATGTTTTGAAAATAGTTTTCAATGGAAGAAGTGTAGAGTGCTTTGTTTTCTATGGGTAACTTCAAAGCTAACAAAAAATTTATATGAGTTATTGAAAAATCGAAGGAATGCGCTATTTCATGATAAAACTTAATCTTTTTTCTAGGT